TTTCAATGTATTCTGACACATTTGACCATTGGAAAAGTGCTGTGAATCATGATTAAAAAAAATTACACAATGCTGGTCAATTTAAGAGCCAGTAAATGAATAAATGCATTAAAACACATCTCCATTAAAGTACAGCATCTAATAGTGGCCTTTGAAAGTGTCACAATGTTTTATGCTTACCTTTCAAAATGTTTCCAATGCCTCAACAGGATTATCCCAGTGGTCTCAGGCTCTCCAAGGAAGTGTGATTCTTTTAGGGCTTACAAAATCCACACAATTTTCATTTGGCCCTTTCAACAGCAAACCTGACATTGGAAGAGGTGTGTGTACATTCTGCATCTAAGAGCTGAACTCACCAAAAGATCAGAGAAAAGTGTATGGACATTTTTTCAGCAAAAAAAAGTTCAGCATTTCAAAGACAACAAGGTGCAGGGCTGGATGAACACAGCTGGCCAAGCAGCATCATAGGAGCAGAGAGGCTAACCATTTCAAAACCAAATTTACACCTCCATAGGGAGGTGGAAATCTTAGTATCATAGAATCCCTACAGTTCAGAAAGAGGCCGTTTGGCCCATTGAGTTTGCACCAAGCCTCCGAAGAGCATCCCATCCAGACCTACCACTAGCCCTATCCCCGTAACCCCTCATTTACCATGGCTAATCCACCTAACCTCCCACATCCCGAACACTACAGGGCAATTTAACATGGTTAATCCACCCAACTTGCATATCTTTGGACTGTAGGAGGAAACCAGAACACCTGAAGGAAACCCACACAGACACAGGGACATCATGCAAACTATAGACAGTCACCTGAGGCTGCAATCAAACCCAAGTCTCTGGTGCTGTGAGGCAGCAGTGCTGACCACTGAGCCACCGTGCCGCCCCTTGCTCCAGAAGGTCTTGCTTTAGAACCTGGATTTTATGATTATGAAGTGTTTGTTTCTTTTTTACAACAGCAATACACTAATCTGTCCCTTATTTTCTGTCCTTCCTGAGAATCACCTTTAATTGCAATCAATGTCTTTGAAACTCTGACCCTTCTATGACAAGAATGAAATATGGCCTCCCATGGCCCACTTATCTTTCAATCCACGCACTGAGGATACCTGCATAGATGTCAACTGGAGACACACACAAGCCAATGGAAGACACCTACACACATGCCAACTGGAGACACACATGTCAATAGGAGATAACTACACACATGTCGACTGGAGATGCACACATGTTAACTGGAGACACCTTCATACATGTCGACTGGAGATATCTACATACATAGAAACATTGAAAATAGGTACAGGAGTAGGCCATTTGCCCCGTTGAGCCTATACCACAATTCAACATGATCATGGATGATCATACAATTTCAGTATCCCACTCCTGCATTTTCTCCATACCCTTTGACCCCTTTAACCGCAAGTGCCACGCCCAGATCTCTTTTAAATATATCTAACAAACTGGCCCCAATAGCTTTCTGTAGAGAATTCCACAGATTCATAACTCTCTGAGTGAAGAAATTCTTTCTCATCTCAGTCCTGAATGGCTTACCCCTTATTCTTAGCACGTGACCCCTAGTTCGGGACTTCCCCAACATCGGGAATATGTCATACATATCAACTGAAGACATACATCGTCAATGGGAGATACCTACACTCACATTGACTAGAGATACCTACACACATGTCAACTGAAGACACCCACACATACGTTGACTGTAGACACACATGTCAACAGGAGACACCTAGACACATGTCCCCCGGACATACCTACATGCACGTTGCCTGGAGACACCCACACACATGTTTACTGGGATACCTGCACAAATATTGACTGGAGATACTTACACACATGTTTACTGGGGATACCTACACACATATTGACTGGAGATACCAACCACATGTTTACTGCAGACACCCACACACATGTTAATTGAAGACACCTACACACTTGTTAACTGGGATACCCGCACGTACGTTTCCTGGGGATATCTACAGACACATCGACTGGACATACCTACACACATGTTTACTGCAAGCACCCATACACATATTGACTGGAGACACCTACTTGACTGGAGATACCTACACACTCAACTCACCTTACACTTTTGACCCTTCCACCCTCCATCAAAACTCACCCATGGTGTACTATGGACAGGCCTTAGGAGTCGAGATTAGACAAAATAAAATGCAGGTCAATTAACATATTACAGTCTTCCCTATATTTAAAAAAAGTCCAATCCATCAAAACACATTCAAAACTTTTAAATCTCCACAAGTAGACAGGGTGATTAAGAAGGCGTTTAGCACTCTTTCCTTCATTGTTCAGATCTTTGAGTATAGGGGTTGGGACGTCATATTGAGATCATACAGGATGTTGGTGAGGCCGCTTCTGGAGTATTATGTACAATTCTGGTCACCATGCTATTGGAAGGATTTTGTTAAATTGGAGGGAGTTGAGAAAAGATTTACCAGGATATTGCCAGGAATGGAGGATTTGAATTATAAAAATAGGCTGGACAGGCTGTGACTTTTTTCACTGGAGCGTAGGAGGTTGAGGGGGCGACCTTTTAGAGGTTCACAAAATCATGAGGGGGAATAGATAAAGTGAATAGCTGGGTCTTTTCCCTAGAATGGGGTTTTCAAAACAAGGGTGCATATTTTTAAAGTGAGAGGAGAAAGTTTTAACAAGGACAATGAGGGGCAACATTTTACACAGAGAGTGGTTCATGTGTGGAATCAACTACCAGAGGAAGTGATGGATGCAGGTACAGTTACAACACTTAAGAAACATTTTTTAGTACATGAATAGGAAAGGTTTGGAGGGATATGGGTGAAACGCAAGGAAGTGGGACTAGTTTAGTTTGGGAACATCTCGGTGTGGACTAGTTGGACTGAAAGGTCTGTTTCCATAAAAAACAGAAAAACTGCAATGCTGTAAATCAGAAACAACATCAGAAATTGCTGGAAAAGCTCAGCAGCTCTATCATCATGTTGTATGACTCTATGACTATGACTCTATGATAGTATGCAAGTTCAGCAGTTAATAGTAATAGGGAAGGCAAATGGAATGCTGGTCTTTATTTAAAAGGGAATGGAGTATAAAAATGGGGAAAAGTAAAAACTAAAACCGTACAAAGCACTAGTCAGACCATTCCCAGAATGCTGTGAACAGTTTTATTCTCTTATCTAAGGAAAGATATACTGGAATTGGGGCAGTCCAGAGAAGTTTCGCTGGGCTGATCCTGCGTATAGAGGGATTTTCTCATGGGGAGAGGTTGAGTTGGTTGGGCTTGTATTCTTTGGAATTTAGAAAAATGAGAGGAGTCCTTATTGAAACATATAAGATCTTTAGGAAGCTTACAGGGTAGATGCAGTAAGGTTGCTCCCTATTGTGGGACAGTCTAAGACCGGACCATAATCTCAGAGTAACGGCTTTCCTGTTATGACAGAGATAAGGAGGATATGCTTCTCTCAGATGGTAATGAATCTGTAGAATTCTTTACTACAGAAAGCTGTAGGGGCAGATTGTTAAGTATATTCAATGCTGAGTCAGACAGATTTTATCAGATATGCCAAGATTTCATTGAATGGTTGAACAGTCTTGATGGGCCAAATGGTTTACTTATTATGTTCAGTTTTGGAGATTATTATGGGATTTTGGGGCTTTCCGAACAGTATTATTATGGGATGTTTCAGGACTTAATAGGATGTTTACAGCTTCCGCCTGTTTATCATGCCATGATTAGGGATTAATATGGACTTTTTGTGATTATTATGGGATGATTGTTGATTATAATTCCTAAATGGGGGTGTTCTGATTAGATTATTATGGGATGTTTGGTGAATATTGTGGATTTTTTGTGATGTATGATAATTATTATGTCATCATAGAATTCCTACAGTGTGTAAGCAGGCCATTTGGCCCATCAAGACCACACCAAACCTCCAAAGAGCAACCCTCCCAGACTCAACCCCCTACCCCATCCCTGTAATCCTGCATTTCCCATGGTTAACCCACACAGCTGACACATCCCTGGACACTATGGGCAACTTAGCATGGCCAAGCTATCTAACTTGCAAGGAAACCAGAGCACCCAGAAGAAACCTACGCAGACACAGGGAGAATGTGCAAGCTCCACAAAGACAGTCACCCAAGGTTGGAATCGAAGCCAGGTGCCTGGCGCTGTGAGGCAGAAGTGCTAACCACTGAGCCATAGTGCCGTTATCATGGGATTTTTTTGTGATTATTATGGTATGTTTGGGAATTATTACAGGACATTTAAGGATTATTATGGGCTCCTTTAGGAATCTTTATGGGATGTTTTTGGGTTACTATGGATTATTGTTTGTATGGTGTTTCTGATTTGGATTGCTATGGGATGTTTGTGGATTATTATGGGCTGCTCTGGGAATTTTTGTATAATGTTTGGTGAGTATTGTGGGATGTTTTTGAGATTATTGTGGACTGTTATTTGGGGAGGTTCTCGTTTAAATCATTATGGGACGTGTTTGTGATTTTTACAACAGACTTTTGTGATTATTATGGACTGTTGTGTGGAGTTTCAGATCTGGATCATTATGGAATGTTTCTGTTATTATTATGGGATATTTTTTGTAATTATTTATGGATTGTTATGGGGGATCTGATTTAGATTAATATGAGATTGGTGATTTTATGGACTGCTTTCGCGGAAGATGGGTTCTGATTGGAACTATTATGGGATGTTTTGTGATCATAATGGAATTTTTAAAATGAGCATTAGGGACTGTTATTTGGAAGTATCTGATTTCAATTATTTTGGATATGTGGTGATTATTATGGACTGTAACGTGGGAGGGGTGTCTGATTTGGATTATTATGGAACATATGGTGATTATTCTGGGATGGTTTTGTAGTTAATATGGACTGTTATTAGGGATCTGATTTGGATTATTACAGGATGTTTGATTATTATGGGATACTTGGTGATTATTATGGGATGCCTCTGGCTTCTGCGCTGGTTGTTGGACTGTGGCGCATGCGCAGTGCCGGGCGAAGGGCAAGATGGCGGCGAGTAAAACCTTCGGCCAGAAGCCGGTGAAATTCCAGCTGGAGGAGGCGGGAGAGTGGTACATGATCGGCTCAGAGGTAAGATACAGCTCGGGAAAGTGGTATGTGGTTGGCTTAGAGGTAAGATACAGCCCGGAAACGACAATTACCACAAGGGCCCGGACACCGAGAGCCCATCCCCACAGATACCGCCCCCCCCACCCAACCCATACCCCAGGCTCTCCGTCCCGGCCTCAAATAACTCTCCCTGCGCCCTCCGCCTGCCCGTCCCTACCCCCCTCTGCCTGCCTCCTAAACCTGCCCCTCCTTGCCTCCTCTCAACTCTTCCGCCTCCCCGGCCACCCCTCCATGCCCCCTCTTGCCCTGACCACCCCCCCTGAATGTCTGTGTGGAGTTTGTACTTTCTCACCATGCCTGTGTGGGTTTCTGTCGGGTGCTCCGATTTCTTCCCACGTTCCAAAGATGTCCAGGTTAAATGGACGGCCGTGCTAAGTTGCCCATAGTGTCCAGGTTAGGCAGATTAGCCAGGGTAAATGAGGGGTTGTGGGGATGGGGTCAGGCGCAGGTCTGGGTGAGATACTTTTCAGAGCGTCATTGCAGTCTCAATGGGCTGAGTGGCTGTTTCAACACTGTAGGGAATCTGTTATTGAATTGAAGATTGACTTGAGAGTGGCAAGTCTTCAGTTTGTGCCATAACTGGGGGTCAGCTGTGGTTTCACCAGTGTTGTCAGGTCAGAAGGTCTTATTATTTGACTTAGAACATAGAACATAGAACAGAGCAGCACAGGAACAGGCACTTCAGCCCACAATATTGTGCTGAATGTGATGTCAAATTAAGCTAGTCCCTTCTGATTGCCCTTGGTCTGTATCCCTCCATTCCTTGCATATTCATGTGCTATCTAAAAGTTCCTTGAACACTCCTGTCATATTTGCCGCCTCCACCACCACCCCTGGCAGCACGTTCCTGACTCCTATCACTCTGTGTTATTTTTTTAAAAAAAACTTGCCCCTCGTATCTCCATTGAACTTGCCCCCTCTCGCCTTAAATGCATGCCCCATAGTATTACACATTTCAACTCAGGGTTGACGGTAAGAATTCATCTTGTAATTTTATAGACTTCCATCAAGTCTCCCCCCAGCCTGTGCTGCTCCAGAGAAAACAACCTGAGTTTTTCTAGCCTCCAGTTAGTCTTACATCAATGGTGGGCAAATTATTGGAAACGGCTCTGAGAGACAGGATTTATGATCACTTGGAAAGGCACAGTTTGATTTGTGATAGCATGGCTTTGTGAGGGGTAGATTATGCCTCACAAACCTTATTGAATTCTTTGAAGCGGTGACCAAACACGTGGATGAAGGTGGAGCAGTGGATGTGGTATACTTGGATTTAAGTAAGGCGTATGATAATGTTCCCCATGGTAGGCTCATGCAGAAGGTAAGGAGGCATGGGATAGGGGGAAATGTGGCAGATTGGATTCAGAATTGGCTGACCCTTAGAAGACAAAGGGTGGTAGTGGATGGAAAATATTCAACATGGTGCTCAGTTACGAGTGGTGTAGCACAAGGATCTGTTCTGGGTTCTCTTCTATTTGTGATTTTTGTAAATGATTTGGATGAAGGAGTGGAATGGTGGATTAGCAAGTTCAGGGACGATACAAAGGTGGGTCACGTTGTGGACAGTGCGGAGGGCTGTTCTAGGTTACAAAGGGACATTGATAGGATGCAGAGCTGGGCTGATAAGTGGCAGATGGAGTTTAACCCTGAAGAGTGTGAGGTGATTCATTTTGGAAGGATAAACTTGAAAGCAGAATACAGGGTTAACGGAAAGATTCTTGGCAGTGTGGAGGAGCAGAGGGATCTTGGGGTTCATGTTCACAGTTCCCTGAAAGCTGCCACCCAGGTGGATAGAGTTGTTAAGAAGGCGTATGGTGTGTTAGCTTTCATTTAATAGAGGGATTGAGTTCAAGAGCCGTGAAGTTATGCTCCAGCTGTACAAAAGCCTGGTTCGGCCACATCTGGAGTATTGTGTCCAGTTCTGGTCACCTCATTACAGGAAAGATGTCGAAGCATTGGAAAAGGTGCAGAGGAGATTTACTAGGATATTGCCTGGAATGGAGGGAAGGTTTTACGAGGAAAGGTTGAGAGAGCTCGGGCTTTTCTCTTTAGAATGACGAAGGATGAGAGGTGACTTGATAGAGGTGTACAAAATGATTAGAGGTATAGATAGAGTAGACAGCCAAAGACTTTTTCCTAGGGTGGAGGTAGCTTTTACAAGGGGACATAGTTTTAAAGTGAAAGGAGGTAGATATCGGGGAGACGTCAGAGGTAGGTTCTTTACTCAGAGAGTGGTAGGGGCGTGGAATGCATTGCCGGAGAGGGTATTGGAGTCGGCCTCATTAGGGGCATTTAAGCGGCTATTAGCTAGGCATTTGGATGATAGTATAAGATAGCGGTAGAGGTTAGATAGACCTTTAGGTTTCGGGTAAAAGTTCGGCACAACATCGTGGGCCGAAGGGCCTGTACTGTGCTGTACTGTTCTATGTTCTATGTTCTCCTTATGGCTCATACCCTCTAATCTACTCCTGGACTCTCTCCAAAGTCACCTTATCCCTCATGTAATGTGGTGACCAGAATTGAATGCAATTGTCCAGGTGTGGCCTAACTAAAGTCTTATAAAGCTGCTCTTGACACTGGATTTTGCAGAAAAGAGGAAGTTCTTGCTGCAGTCTATGAAGTGAGTTTGTTTCTTCCTGTGCAGCTAGTAGCAAAAACTACCACATCTCCACTTACTGCTAGACCTGGGCTATTGTTGTGGGAGTGCTGTGCAGGAATTTTTAAACTTTTTTTAAACTTGTTGAAATAATGGTGTAAGCTGTTTCACAAACTCTGTCTGTCTCAGGTTGGTAACTACCTGCGCATGTTCAGGGGTTCCCTGTACAAAAGATACCCATCTCTGTGTCGCCGACTAGCCACAGTTGAAGAAAGAAAGAAGATTGTAGCATCCTCGCATGGTAGGTGTCTATATCTGTGCTGTGATGTGACTGGTCAGTCAACTGTTGCTGAAAGAACACACATTTGCATTGTTCTTGTCAGGTAAAGTGTTTGTTATTTATTAGTCTCCACCAGCTGTACCTGAAGATCCTGATTCTCTCTGCAAAATTGCACCGGGACCATGCCTGAACCTCAGTCCACTAATTCTGTATGGAGTGAAGTATGTTGGCCATCTCTTTAACTGTGGAGGCTGTCCCACCATTGTAATCTCTCGTACCTGCATTTTCAAATGGAGATCAGCGGATAGTCGCTGATTTATGGCTTTATTCTCTCTCAGATCCCAGCTCTGAACCTTTCCATCAAGTCCATGGCTGAAAGCAGCTAACTCAGCACAAGTCAGGAATTGTACCAGACTGGAAATAAGCATGCCAGTGGGGAATGTGCTGATATTATTTCTATTTTGCCACTTTAATATTGCTCGCCCAAGTGCCTAAGTCCTGTTCTGTTCCAGTGCTGGAGCTACATTGCAGACCCCACAGCGGAACCAGCTCTGAGGAATCTGCATTGTCACCAATCCTGGGTTCACTGTGGAGGAGCGGAGGGTAGGGAGCCAACCACTAGGTTCTACTGTTAATGGAATCGAATTTAAAGAGCAATCCCACTCCCCAATTTCTCCCCCTCTGCCATGGCACTGGGACTGCCTGAGACTCCAATGACTTAATTTTTATAGCTTTTTTTTTGTAATGAAATATGGGTGTTGCTGTCTGGCCAGCATTTATTGCCTGTCCCTACTCTTGAGAAAATGATAAACTGCCTTGAACGGAATCATTCTATTTGGTGTAGAGACATCCACATAGCTGTTAGGAAGGGTATTTCCAAGTGAGGTTTGTGAGAAATTTGCAAATAAAGGTGTTCCCATGTATGTGCTGCTTAGTACACCTTAGTGGTAGAGGTTGCTGGTTTGGAAGGTGCTGTTGAAGGGGCCATTAGTGAGTTGCTGTAGTCTATTTTGTAGATGGTACATATTGCTGCCACTGTGCGGTGGTGAAGGGAGTGAATGTTGTAAGATGGTGGATGGGGTGCCAATCAAGTACACTGCTTTTTCTGGATGGTGTCGATCTTCTAGAGTGTTGTTGCCCATATCTAGGCAAGTAGAGACAGATGGGGGTGGCACAGTGGCTCAGTGCTTAGCAGTGGTGCCTCATTGCCAGAGACCCAGGTTTGATTGTAGCCTCAGGCGATTCTCTATGTGGAGTTTGCTCATTCTCCCCGTGTCCACGTGGATTTTCTTCGAGTGCTCGGGTTTCCTTCTACAGTCCAAAGATATGCAGGTTAGGTGGACTGGCTATACTAAATTGCCCGTAGTGTCCAGGGATTTGCAGGCTAGGTGGATTAGCCACGGGAAATGCAGGGTTACAGGAGATGGGCATAGGGGTGGGTCTGGGTAGGATGTAATTCGGAGGGTTGGTATGGACTTGATGAGCCAAATGACTTGCTTCTGCACTGTAGGGATTCTGTGATTCTGTTCATAGAATCCCTACAGTGTGGAAACAGGCCCTTCGGCCCAACAAGTCCACGCCAACCCTCAGAGCATCCCACCCAGACCCATCCCCCTAACCTACACATCCCTGAAACACTACGGGCAATTTCCCATAGCCAATCCACCTAGCATGCACATCTTTGGACTGTGGCAGGATAATGCAGGAAGGGTGTTCCCAATGACTGGGAGTCTAAAACCAGAAGTCATGGTTTAAGGAGACAGGATTTAGAATTTAGAATTAGGTTTTATTGTCCTCTGTGGTCAAGGTACAGGGATACAGGAGTACAGTGAAATGTTTACAATGTCGCTATTCACGATCCCACCTTAAGTACAAGGTACCTAGGGGCAAAATCATAGGTAAAAGTAGAAATATGAAGAAATAAATTAAAAGTTCCGAATTACTGTCCTCCTTTAACCAAAGGCCTGTTCTCGCTTCACGCTGGGCTTTCCCCACAAGGGCCCGGTTTCTCTCCCGTGCTGGGATAATTTGTACTTACCTTTTGACACTCTTAATTACCTGGAATTATCTTGCCATTATCGCGTTGCATATAAATTTTGTGCATGTGCGCTTCCCTCCACTTTACCTGATGAAGGAGCAGTACTCCGAAAGTTTATGATTTCAATTAAATCTGTTCGACTGTAACCTGGTGTCATGTGACTTCTGACTTTGAAAAGATGGTGGAAGCAGCTTTAATAACAACTTTGAAAAGGAATTGGATAATTAATTGAATAAGAAAATTTTACAGGTCTGTGGGTAACGTGTGTGGAAATGGGACTCATTCTTTTAAACTCCTCCTAAGAGCCAGCAGGGCACAATGGGTCTCCTTTTTAGCTGTAATATTTTTGACATAGCTATTGTCCTGGATGATTTGTCGTCGGCTGGGATTTCACTTTCTTCTTCCTGGTCTTCTATACTGTGCTGCTTTAGATACGAGGACGGCAGTGTGTGTTAGCAGAGTGCTCCACTGCATTAGCTCTGGATACTGAGCGGGTGTGGGAATCATAGTTATATTTCAAACTCCTCCTATCCCACTTTCATTTGATGTACTGCTTTATAATTAGCCTATGACCCTGACTGTTTGAACTGTTCAAATGTTTTGAATTGATGTGCTCATTTAGAAGGACAGTGCAGATATAGTGGGCTGAATTGCCTCCTCCTGCATTGTAACAATTCTGAGACTCTACGATAAGTGTTAGTTGAAATATTTGTTTGGTGAATTATTCCTGTATGGAACAGATTTACCACATCCGTAATGAAACAATTCCAATTTATTGGGACTTAGGCCCATGGATTCCCATAAACTCTTCTCAGGTTTCTGGCAGTGACCACTAAGATGCAGGGGCAGGGGAAGCAGGTCCTATGGAGGAAGGGAAGATGGCAGGTCTCACAAGTGAGTGTGGGTGTGGGGGAGAGCTGTGAGTTCCACAGAGGGAGGTGCAGGCTCGATGTGTGATTAGTACAGCACAGCAGGCTGGCGCTTTGTGGGAGGCACATGGTACTGGTGTGAGGATAAGCCATGGAATGGCAGTGGAGGTGCACGTGTGGATTTCTGAATCAGGAGATCTCTTCCGAGTCAGGTAGTCAGCAAGAATTGACAGAGGGGTGGACTGAGGGATTGGGGATTTGGAGATGGTAATGAAATAGATAACGAGAGAACCCTGTAAGTTTTATTGAGGGACTGAAAGTACAGACCTCTGCAAAATTTGCTCTTTTCTCAGGTTTTAGATTAAAACAGTACATTTGAAGTATTTATATTGTGTTTTTTTAATTGATCAGATCATGGTTATACCACTTTAGCTACCAGCGTGACGCTTCTTAAAGCTGCGGAGGTCGAGGAAATCCTAGAGGGAAATGATGAAAAGTACAAAGCCATCTCGATCAGCACTGAACCACCTGCCTATCTCAGGTACTAACTATATCTAACACTGACCCAGTACAGTACACACACTGAACCATCATCTATCTATGCTGTCTATATCCAGTACTGACCCAGTACAGTACACATTCATGTTGTGTGTATCTAACAGACATAGTATAGTACACTACCACAGATGTAGTACAGTACACTCTCACACTGAACCATCATCCGTCTGTGCTATCTATATCTTGCACTGACCCAGTGCAATACACACTCGCATTACATCATCACCTGTTTCACTGCTGCCTGTGTCTAACAGATGTAGTACTGTACACTTTCACACTGAGCCATCATCTATGTGACATGGTACAGTACACACAAATTGAACCATCACCTATCTCAATTTTGCCTGAATCTAACAGGCATTGTGCAGTACACTGTCAAAGAGCCATCGTCTATCTGTGCTATCTGTATCTAGGACTGACATAGTTCAATACGCTCACACTGAACCGTCATCAATATGTATTGTCTGTATCTAACACTGATGTAGTACAGAACATGTTCACACTGAGTCATCATCAATCACAGTGCTGTCTGTATCTAACACTGACCCAGGGTAGTCGATAGTCATTAGTGTTGACCATTAATGCTGGGTCACTGCTGGTGTGTTGGAATAGTGCTTTCTCTGTGCTGGTTTGTATTATTAGTATTAGGATTCTGGATTTGGAGACTGAATCCGTGGTCAGTGCTGGTTTGTAGGCTGTGTGTTGGGGCAGTGCTTGCTTGCAGAATTACTGCTGTGGTTAGCTTAGATGGCTACACAGCTAGTTTGTAATGCAGTGTGATTCCAATAGTGTAGGTTTTATTTCTGCACTGGCTATGGTTATCAAGTCCTTCTCGACCTCTCTTACTCACCTGAGGTGTAGTGACCCTTGGATGTAACCACAACCAGTTGTGTGTGTGTGTCTCTCACTCTAATAAGTGAGCAGCACTATGGTCTGGTAAGTCCATGGCAACTTTAACTTTATCGTTAGTGCCGGTTTCTAGGAATAGGCAGTGCCGACTTGGAGGCTGAATGTTGGAGGCTGAGTGCCACGGCCAGCACAAATGACTGGACATCTGGTTTGCAGCTTAGTGTGATGCCGACAGCAGGAGTTCAGATCCTACACTGGCTGAGGCTACTTTAAATGTGTCACCTTCTCAACCTCCTCCATTGCCTGAGGTGTGGTGAGCCTCAGTCATAACCACCACCAGTCATGTCTCTCTCAATTGAACGAGCAGCCCTATCATCTGGTAAGACACTGGTGACTTTACCTTTACCATTATTGCCTGTTTGTAGGATTAGTGCTGGTGCAATGCCTGTTTGTAGGGTTAGTGCTGTGGTTAGCTCAGATTCTGGACAGTTGGTTTGCAATGCAGAGTGATGCCGACAGCCTGGTTTCAATTTCCACACTTGCTGAGGTTACCACAAAGGACTGTCCTTCTCAATCTCTTTTCCCTTGCCTGACGCGTTGTGACCCTCTGATTAAACCACCACCAGTTGTAAGCCTGCCTGCCTGTCTGTCTGTCTCTTGAATGAGCGAGCAGCCCTATAGTCTGGTAAGACTATGGTGACTTTACCATTAGTCATGATTTGTAGGATTAATGCTCAGGCAGTGCCTGTTTATAGGATGGTGGGTCATTGCTAGTTTCTAGGATTTTTGCTGGGTCAGTGGCTGCTGTCAGGATTAGTGAGAATTAGTGTTGGGGTGGTGCCGATTTTGGGGGAATTAGTGTTGGGGCAAGCTCAGATGACTGGACGGTTGGTTTACGATTTCAACAGCATGGGTTTAATTCCTGCACTGGCTGAGATTGCAATGAAGGACTCACCTTCTCAATCTCTTCCTTTGCCTGAGGCCAGTGCAACTCAATTATAACATCAATAGTCATCTCTCTCTCGATTGAACGAGCAGCCCTGTCATCTGGTAAGACACTGGCGATTTTATCTTTGCCTTTAGTGCCAGTTTGTAGAGTAAGGGTTCAGTCAGGGCCGTGTTATAGGCTGAGTGCAGGGGCCGTGCTGGTTTTTAGGCTGAGTGCTGGAGGTGTGATGGTTTGTAGAATTAGCATTGCGGTTAGCTGAGATGACTGGATAGCTGCTTTGTGATGTAGAGTGACCCTCTACATCACAAAGCAGCTATCCAGTCATCT